AATATAATTACTTTAATTAAATTAATAAGTAAAATATATATTAAAGCTTATACCGCCTATAATATATACCGGTGTAACTTGTACTTTACATCCCACATAACGGGACAATACATACAGTTGCAACAGCAGCACTAGTAGGATATTGGCCGTTCTGGTTAATCTAAAATAGCACCAGATTAGACCGGACCGGACAAACCGGACTTCACATCACAATTTCAATGTAATGGCTTCAAAAACAGCAGCCATGCGCTGCATCGTGCGCGCACAGCAACGCCCAAGGCATTCGCCATGTCGCCTAGTCCAGCAGCGCCAGCTCTGCAACACACCTCGCCTCCAGACAGACGGCGTGTTTCGAGCATTGACTGAGCAAAGGATGCAGGTTCCCTGGATTGAGGCATTTCGCAAGCAGCAGTCCGAAATGGCCAACAAGAGCCACAGCGAGCCTCGTGCGCCAGCTAAACCTGACCTGACGCCAAAGAAAATGTCAGACAGCTACCATAGCGTCGTAAGTGCCACGAGACGTTGACCGGTACGGGAAAGACACAATGAGTACTACCAATGTCTGGGCTCTAATGTACTGTTTCACCTTCAGATCCTTCCTCTCGCCCAAGAGCCATCTCTGCTCGACACCTACCTCAACGCCACCGGCCACATTCGTCTAGGGACCATCTTCATGGACTTGGACGCCTTGTCCGGCGTCATTGCCTACAAGCACACTGGCGAAGGCGTCAACACTGTCACAGCCGCCTTTGACCGCATCACCATCAACCGCCCTCTCACAGACATCTGCGACCTCGAGCTGAGCGGCCAGGTCTCGTACGCTGCCGGAGGCTCGAGCATGGAAATCAGTCTCCAAGTCGCCAAGGCGCCCAAGGACGGGCAAGAGGTCAAGCAGGAAGACGTCATGATCACATGCCAGTGCACCATGGTGGCCACAGACCCTGCCACCAAGAGGCCCGTCAAGATCGCACCAGTCCGCACGGATACCGAAGAGGAGAAGCGCATCTTTGCGCGGGGCGAAAGGAACAGCAAGATGCGCAAGAAACTCTCGCAGCAATCTCTGTTGAAGACGGCGCCCAACGACGAGGAGAGCGACCTCATCCACGCCATGTGGCAGCGGCAGCTCCGGTACCATGATCCCAACGATTCGCTGCGCAAGCCCGACAACGTCTTCTTCATGGACACAACAAGGCTCAACACGGCAGCCATCATGCAGCCCCAGTATAGAAACCGCCACCACTTCATGATCTTTGGCGGGTTCCTGCTCAAGCAGACGTTTGAGCTGGCCTTTTGCTGCGCCGCCAGTTTTACCCACACGAGACCCAAGTTTGTGTCGCTTGATCCGTCGACGTTTCAGAATCCCGTGCCAGTCGGCAGTGTTCTTTATCTCACAGCGACAGTGGTGTATACGGATCCGCCACTGGTCGACCATGCCGCCGACGACGCAGAGTCCAACGAGACGCCGCGTCAGACGCGTGTCCAGGTCCGCGTAGACAGCAAGGTGAGAGACGTCGAGCATGGAGAGATAAAACCCACCGGGCAGTTCAATTATACTTTTCTCGTTGATAAAGATGTCAAGGTTATGCCGAGGACGTATTCCGAGTTTATGATGTACGTGGATGCGCGGAGGCGGGCCTCAAGGGTGCAGCAGGCCATTGCGAGCGGTGCATCGGAACCTGGCAAGGGCGAAGGCATCATGGAGTAACGACTTGCAGCACCAGGCTATTAAATAGGTTTGGCAGTACGCAGGACATTATCAAGAGCAAACATGACTGTGTCACGTCACGTCACGTCTCTGGGCACCCTGCTGGCAGCCGTGCGCTTTATAGAGGGAGTTGCGCGCATCCAAAAAACTCATTCTTGGGAATCTAAATCCGATTCACCGATTGCAACACATGCATTAAACCTGCGATCAACTCCAGAAGGTCATGTCTCGTGTGTAGCCTTGGCCAATCTTCGACTGGTATTTCCCAAGTAGCTAAAATACTAGCTTATGCTCGTCTTCTCGGTCCAAAAACGTAGTGCGATCAAGTCTCTCATTCTTGTCTGTGATGGGTGCTGGTGTGCTGATTGTAGATTCTTGTTCCACCATTTCAAGAAGTCGTCGTCGTCGATGTTGCCTCAGGTAGAGCAAGTGACTCCATCCATTTGTATTCACCCTGTAGCGTCTCAGTCAACTTTCGGGCGACTCAACCCCCTCCGTCTTCCGGTTTTCGCGTATATAGTGCCACTTATACCGAGGGTGGCGCAAATTCCAAGTACAGTCGGTCTTTTCGGGACGTGGCTCTGTGCGAATTGCCCCAAAGCAGGCCTCGTCTTGCACAAATGCTGCAACGCAGGCGGGCGTTTCGTTAGTAAAGCGACAGTACTTGTCTAATTTCACCTATAATGCCGTATTCGACTCGTCATTATTTCCCTCTTTTCCTGACTTGACTTATGTCAACACAAAATCTGTAATTTGTCGGCCCCAAAGCAACACACAAACCACCAAGTCCCAACACCACAATTATAACTCAAGTCCTCGTAGTAATAAAGGCTTTAAATAAGTGGTAAGCTGATACTAAAACGTTAATTAAATGCTTTTGAATATCCTACAACTGTTACACTTGTATTAGTACACCCGCCCCCATACCTGCAAAGGCTACTTCCTTGTCCGCCTTCCTTCCTTACTTCCTTTCCCACCGCTTCGTCGAACATATTCCTCGTTTCTCGTCCCTTCCAAGCCGGCCTCGAAAAAGTGGATCAAAGTACGGATATGCCTGACGACAAATCCGGCCTCGGCACAGGCTCGTTGCCTCAGAAAAATCATTGACGTCATTAAAGAAGGTGAAATGGAACGACGGAAGCACTGTCAAGCAAAACGGAGCACCATTGGAACGAGCAATTTGCTTTGCGTGTCTCTCGCAAGCCTTAGCACAGGTGACTTAGCACAGGTGATGACTGCGCACTCAAACGACACGAAATGCGCACGCTATCCAAGTGCGCATCTGCAACATTGTACGGCGACCCAGAAATGCTCGAACTTTTGGCCATCTAAGCGTACTGTTTGTCGGTGCGCACCAGTGCATGACTGTGCGCATTTATGTCCTGCGCGTAAATGCGCCCTTTTCAGGCGTCATTTCAGACGTGCATGGATCCCCACCTTCTGCTGAGTCCCTACAAGCCTGTAGATTTCGTCATGTCACATGCACTTGGATACCTGATGAGACACGGCTATTTCGGTGGAAGCAAAGATAACTCCTATTGACATATCGTACGACGGGGCTACAATATGTGGCCGGGCTCAGCTATCTATGCTGAAATGAGTGACTTGGCGCTCAAATGTCTGCAGCTGAGCCTTGTAAACAGCATGCTCGTCAAATTTCCCCTGCTCCATTGCATCGTCCGCATATGAAGCCTTTCTCGCTTTCCCCGCTGCCCTTACAGACCGGACATACGGTCATTTTGACCAGGTATTCGAGTTCACTCTTCACTGCCGACGATGCCTTTAGTCGAGGTATAATACTAGTCAAAAGAAAATGATGGGCATACCAATGAGTACTGTAGCTTACGGTAGTACTGGTATTTTTTTCTTTCTGTTTCTTTTCTCTCGTTCGCTGGGTGTTGTGGTTTCGTGGTTAGGCACCTATGGCAATGCTTTAGAGGTTTGAGTGCGCCCCAAAAATGTCTATTGCGGTATGCCCCTCAAGAGGCGAAAGTTCGGAAAATCACTCTGCCGTCGTGGTCGTGTCCCGCCCCGCCCCCACCTGAGAAGCAGCACTTCCGACCTACTCCTAACGTGACAACGATGCTCAGAATATCGCAACTAATGGAGCCTTCGGAACCATCAGAGGGCGGAGTCTGGGGACAGCATAACGTGTCTGAAGCCGTGGCTGTCACCGACTCTCTTGGTTTCTTTAAGGAGCAGGGCCTATTCTATCAAGAGGATGCCACAGTCGGGGCCATAGTAAACGCCTTGGATGCGCAGGGTTTGTCTGGTACCAACGAGGGGTTTAAGTTCTTCACAGGATACTTGGTCGGAGATGCGGTATGTGGCAAGAAGAAAATAATTCAGTACACTTCTGATCAACGCGCAGCGTATTCGGCCAATACTCGAACCATACCTGAAGCATCCTAATCCACAATCCAGTTCAATATTCAGTGCTGATCCAGGACATGTCTTTGCTTTCTCGACGGCGCCAGAAGAGATTGAACGTGTGGTTATACAAGTTTGGAGCACTGGCTCACGAATGGAATTTTACGAGAAATCCCACGTCAAAAAATTGAAAGGCTTCCTTGCCGCAAATGGGCTGTTGGAAATAACTAGGGCTTCACTGAAAACAAACGGCTGTGCCTCCATTTCTGTTCGCATGGATAAAGGCGGGATGTGAGATTTTATGACCTTAACAGACTGTCCTAAGCTAAGATAGGCCCAGCGCGATTCTCCACCCGAAGCTAGCATTTCAAATCCTCGGGGGATTTACGAACACTTATGGTGTGCAAATACCAATGGTGAGACAAGACGACCGCGAAGGTGCGAAACAAAGTTAAACGCAATCGTTCTGTTGAGATCTCGGCGGTCCTAGAAGTTGGCTCGTCTGTGCGGTGTCCAAGCATACGGGGAGGGCAGTGTTTTCAGTAAAAAGCATGTTTGCCCCGGAGCTTCCAGATACTGCACGTAGCGGCCACAATGAAGTAGATATTTCGTTTCCGCCTCCATGTTGATCATACGCTGACGCATGTATAGGCCAAATAGGAGCACGTCCATGTTCAGCCCGCTCAGGCCAGTTTGATATCAGTCTTGCCGATAGAATTTGATTAGTGACGTCTGGGTCAATCGACTGTAGCAGAGCTTGCCCATGCAACGATTTCGGAAGAGGTTGAATAATATCGCTAGCAAATGATACACTCGAGTTTGATACTCGCTGCCTTTTTGCGGAAGGGAACTCTGCATGTTTCGCTGTAAAAGGTCTTTTTGCTAGCTTGCAACCGAACCTTTCAAGCGATTTACTCCATAACACTGCTCTCATATGTACACACAACTTCTCCAGCCTATTGTTAGCAAGCGGGACTATGAGTGACAGCAAAAGCAGGCCAAGAGAAGTCCCCCGACTGGAGGAGTACAGCGAAGGATTACCTCGTCCCCGTCAACCAATTTAATATCGTGCGTTGGAGATAGCGAAATGACGAAAGATCAGACAACATAAAATGTAAAGGTTAGCAGTCATCCAACGTTGTCACTGGCAACGTGGCACCATATGGTGTTCGCGAAGTTGTTGCTAGTAGCACGGCAACTACGTTGGTGGTAACCTCAGGTGCTACAGCCCAGATGCTCCAACTTCCAAAGTGATCGCCCGTGCCCACATACCCCCGCGCCGCTTATCTACTGGCGAAGGAGACCATAACTTCATATCACTGTCGCGTTCTCTGTCGCCGGACAGCACTCCTCATGAGAACCAAGAAAGTCTTCAAGCCAAAGGAGATTTAGAATGTGGAGACATACATTTGCCATTTGCCATCTAGTCCTATTTGCCCTTCGTATCCACGCAGCCGAACTTCCTCTTCTCCCTCTCCCATACGACGTGACTGAACTTTCTCATCACCAAGTCTTTCGCCTCCTTGATTGCCTGTTCCCCACGTAATTGGTCACATGGCAGGAAGATGGGTGCCTAAAATACTTTAACTTTAATTGACCCATTTAGCGCTTAACGCGCTTCTCTTAGTTGCTTATATTCGTACTCTTAAATACTACTAGCTAGCGCACGTTTCATACGCGAGGAGCCACGGCAAGCACCCTTCTTCCGCCGCTGGGTCTTACGCTTTAAGGTTTAACGTTACTATAAACGGGTAACGCTCATAAGGGGGCGTGAGATAGCTTAATAGCCGGGTTCTAGATGGTTAAAGCGTCAAGATTCGTCATCTACAAATCGGCTGTAAGTTAAGCGAGGCAGGTACTTAGGCGAGGGCTTTATCTTACTCTTAACTGGTGAGCCATGGCGTTCACGCGGTGCCTCCTGGCTATTGATAAGCTTGTCATACTCAGAAAAGAGAGCATGAAGGCGGTCGCTGTCCAAGGCGTGGGTACGGGAGCCCTCTCGAGTACTTCCTGCCCAGCCATTGGTTGTACAGTGGAGGTGGTCGCAATGCCCAAATCCTTGTCAGAATTTTCGAAACTAGATTTCAAGGGACCATCGTCGGTGTCACCGAACATGTTCCATTCATCGTCGTCAATGTCGTCGCAGCTGCTCACACTGCTCGGCGAGGATGTGATCGTTATCGCGGAGTCCCAAGAGGAGCCAGGTGATAATGGTAGGTGATTTTGAGGCATGAGTGTCGGGTATGACTGTGCTAGTATAATTTCATGCATCATGAAGTCAAGAAGTCAAAAGTCGGAATCGCTGGGAGAAAAGAAGAGCGGCATGATGGAGAAGGTTTTTTTGTAGTTGACAGAACCCGACTCGTATAGCCTTTATATAGACAGAACCTAAGCCGTTACCTGCACCACCAAATGGTGATAGGGTCACGAAAGCTTCGCTAGAACTGTCTCTAAAGGCTTAATTGGCTCCACCCACCAAATGTTGTGAGCCTCCTAGTGATACGTCCAAGTTCATGACTGGTTCTATAAGGTCTCTCACATCATCCTAGATCTGCCTCCTGTTGCTTTTCCATTTCCCCTGCTTAAGCAATTCACACCTTGGAAGTTTACTGTCCCACTTCCTACTTCTCTGGCCCCTCTTTCGGCAGCATCAACTGGTCAGATGTAAGAACCAAGGTGGGCATACCGCTTGCCAACTCTGCGTGTCTTGGTTCCAGATTCCCACGACGATATTAACCGCTTGGGGGTAGCCATTGCTTCCCACATTCACAGAATTCGCGTCCTTGTTGGGGTCTTTATTGTTGATGACCCATTCGCCAACATTGGTCAAATTGTAGGATTCGCCAAGCTTGCAGGCTTGCCAATTTCCGGTGTAGATGACTTTGGCACCAGGATCTGCCATCTGTGTGGTCCAGTTGAGGCCGTACTCGGGAGTCCATGAAACTTCCATGTTTGGTGCGAGGCTCGTCGACTTGTAGACCACGTTGAACATGGGCTTACCCCCCGGTGCAGATACAGCTTTTGCGACCTGGAGGTTGTAATGGTTCTTGGAAAGGAATGCCAGATCACTTGCCCCCTCCTGAACAGTGAGTGTAGTGGTCATGGTGAGGGATGTTGTAATGGCAATAACAGCGTAGGAGCTTTGGTGGCGAACGAATAATTAGAATCGTAGCCCGTCTTGGGATACTTGAATATGCGTCTGAGCTACAATACAGCCGTAGAATGGGGGAGAGGATGCCTTTTAATCCCCCCCTCTTCCCTTTTTTTTCCTTTGGTCCCAGAATTCCAACCATACATATGCCCAAACTGACAAGTCATCCTCACTATGTAGTTGTGAATGTAAGTAAGGCAGACAGACATACAGGAGTCTATGAGGCATTTTATGCAATTGGCCTTGAAATATGTCATGTCATTGTCACAAAAGCACCATGCAAGACAATCACTACAAGCACATAGAAGTAAATGTATCGAGGAAGACTCGTTCGACTCGGCTCACTGCTAGTCAAGGGTGAAGAGAGGACGCTTGCTTTGCAGCAGGTTCTGACCACAACCAGTCGCAAGTTGCCTTGCTGCACGTGTGCCGTCACAACGTCATGTCAATGCATTTAAGCTTGGGTTCTCGAGATGCCTGACGTCACGTCGCGCAGCCGACTGTCGATTAAAATGCGATGGACAATCCCATGGGCACGCCGTCTCTGACAAGGCGGCATATCTCCCACGGACAGTCGACGCTCTGGGTTTCCGGGCCCAATCAAGGCTTGCCCATCTGAAACAGCCAACGACAGACGAAACTAACTCTGCATAGTTGTGCCTCTTTGCAAGTCAGAAGACCCAGCTTGGTTCAAAAGAAATCCCAGGGTAGGATGCGCGACATGTCATGTTTTGGCAAATATGCCTCTGGCAACGGCAATCAGGCGACAACCCCATCTGCAACACCAACCACTTCTGGACTGGGCTGCAGTTGGCAGTTACCCGGTGTAGCTTATGGCTGCCAGATTGTGACGTGACTTTATGTAGCCAGGGTCATTTCTGGCGTTGCAGAAGTACAGAATTGGGATTGAAGCCATGTGATTGGTAAGAAGGGGGCCATGTATCGTCGTCTACTGCCGTGATTAACCTTGGGGCATTCGTCAGTCGGCTTTCAACTGGCTATTCGCAGTTTGTACGTAGTACAGCTTAGAAATAAATATCAAGTCTCTGGTCCCCGGCAGGCAAGGTGACGGCGAGAAGATCAGCTTCTCCCTACCGAGGACATATGCCAAGACACTGCCCTCGAATACCTCTACTGGGCTCAGCATAGTCAGCTTTAAAATAGTCATGTTCAAAGCGTGAGAAATAGCATATATATTACGGAGTAGACAGTTCATCTTGGGTCACAGTACATTGCAAGCGGCAGAGCGCAAAGAGCAGCTCCAGCAAGTCACTGCAGTCTACTTGTATATAGGTCACACAAGCGACATGTCGTACACGAAACCACCCTGACGACGCTGTCATAGGAAAGCATTATCCGGGGTACAAAACCCGCGTCTTGATACTGCCGCGTAAGGATTTGACGACGCACAGATTCGTTGTATGAGGCTACCATGGAGATTGCAGCAGCCGGCCTAGGTTAAAAGCGTACAGCCAATTTAACACGAACTACAACTCATCCTTGGCGCCGGCCGCCTTCTCCCCGGCGCCGTCCTCCAAGCCCCTCTTCACCATGGAGCTCAGAATCTCATAAACCACCTGCGCGGCCGCCAGCGCCGTCTCCTCCCCGCGCCCCTGATACGCAGGACTCACCTCGACGACGTCGGCGCCCACGAGATTCAGGCCCTCGATGCCCCGCAGGATCCTGATAAACTCCCTCGTCGTCCAGCCGCCCGGCTCGGGGGTGCCCGTGCCGGGAGCAAACGCCGGGTCCAGCACGTCGATGTCGACAGACAGGTACACGGGGTCCTCGGTGCCCAGCACGGCCATGATGCCATCGACGATGCCGCGCGTGCCCACCTCGTCAATCTCGTCGGCAGCGAAGCGCACCCAGTTCTGCGCCGTGTCGGCCTCGTGGTCCGCCCAGTCGGTGCCGCTGAGGCGCGTCCGCAGCCCCGCGTGGACAGACTGCCCTGCCGACGCGTTGGACAGCAGGCCCTCCTGGCTGGCCATCCAGAACATGGAGCCGTGAGTAAAGTGCGTCGAGCCCCATGCCGACGGGTAGGCGGCCGGGTCCCACGTGTCCAGGTGAGCTGTACAAGATTCCAACTTAGTTCTCAACATGCATTTACATCCCGCTGTAGGAAGAGAGAAGGACAACACTACCGTCAAAGTGAAGCACGCGAACGGGCTTTCCGTAAATCTCCTTGAGGGCCCTCAGCGCAGGCAGCGCGAGGCTGTGGTCGCCGCCGAGCGTGACAAGCTTGGGCTTGCCGGCGCTCAAGGAGCTCACGGGCCGCGCCCTGCCCAGGTTCCGAAACGCCTGCGTCATTTGCTCCGTCGCAATGGCATTGTCAAACGGCGTGACGGGGATGTCGCCGCAGTCAATGATCCTGGCCCAGTTCTGGTACGGGTTGATGTTGGCGCGCGGGTTGAAGGCGCGCAGCGACGTCTGGCGCGACGAGGCCTGCCGGATCGCCCTGGGACCAAACCGGGCGCCTTGGCCGTACGTGTGAGCAGACCGCGTGTTCAAGGGGGAAGGAGAGAATGACAAATTCACCTACCTGGTCTAAAGGAAACGGCCGTGTCAAAGGGCGCGCCGATAATGGCAATGTCGTACTTTTCCTGCGGGTTCGTCAGGCACTTGACGTAGTCGAGGTGGGCAAACGACCCGATGCCATTGAACGACCACTAGACGGGCAACGTTAGCAACCGCTTTTTTTCACCGTCTTTTTTCAAATTGTCCTAGCTTCTTGCCTCGTGGCCCCATTTCTCCTGCAGCTCTTCCAGTTCCTCCTTGGTCCATTCCTTGCCGTTGTCGTCGTCGTGGCCGCCGCAGGCGTGTGCGCAAGACCCGGCGAGGGCCAGGAGGGGAAGCCATGTCGCGGGCTTCATTTTGTTCCAGACGATTGCTCAGCTCGCTTATCTATGCTCGCAAGAAGAATATGAGTAGCTTCTTGCTTCATTTCCCCTTGGCCCCCTTATATATTGCAAGCCGCACCCCCCGGACTTTGGCCTTCCCCACATTCTCCACTCCCGGCGTCAACGGCGGGAAGACCGACGTCGTCCGAGATCGGCGGGGACGGGCCGGCAACCAACGACGTCCCGATAAGGCAGCCAGCCACATGCTATCTTGACCCTTGTTTTTTTCAATCTGTCCCGCCGATATTTCGCGATAACTGATATGGATTCTACCCCAGAGTTTCTCATGGCCCCAGTGTTGTTCCCCGCAAGCAGTTAAATAGCATGGTTCGCGCCTCTCGATTCTAGATGTAACCCAAGGATGGTGGTGACTGGCCCAAACCATCCCATCACTGCCCGACTCCTGATTCTACCCCATCTCCCGCCCTCTTCTCCAAACACACGTTTTGATATATAAAACAGGACAATCAACATACAGCTATGGACGACAAAGGGCAAAAACCACATATCACCATGGCAGAAAAACACCCAGACCCCGACGCGCAAGACGAAGCCGCCGCCCACGCAGGGGATCAACACCTCAAGAGGCGGTTCGGCCTCGTGTCCGTCATCGCATTCGGCTTCACCACCATGAACTCGTGGGTGGCATTCGCGTCGGGCGTCGCCGTGCCGCTCTCGTGCGGCGGCGGCCCGGGCCTCATCTACGGGCTCATCGCGGCGGCCGTCGTCATGGTCGTCATCAACACGGGCTTCGCGGAGCTGGCGTCGGCGTTCCCCTCAGCCGGCGGGCAGTACCACATCGTGTACAAGACGTTCCCGCCGTCGTCGCGCCGGCCCGCCGCCTTCTTCACGGGCTGGGTCTCGGTCATCTACATCACGGCGGCGGCGGCGTCGTGCAACTTCTTCGTCGCCTCGTCCGTGCTCGACCTCGTCGCCCTCTGGGACGCCGGCTACACCCCGCAGCCCTGGCACACGTACCTCGTCCACGTGCTGCTCTGCGTCGTCGCCTTCCTGGCCGCGTCGCGCTTCCCCTCGGCCGTGGGCAGGCTCGGCGTGGCGGTCCTCGCCCTCTCCGTCGCC